GCAGCGGCGGCAGAAACTAATGTGTCCTCCCGCGCGGCGGCAGATGTCATCAATTCACTTTGTTGTTGATAAGTACCGTAGGGATGTGTTTGTTTGCGTTGATGTTGGTGCAGTTGTTGTTGTTGTTGTTGTTGCTGCTGTGGTTGTGGTTGTGGTTGTTGCGTTGACTTTGGTTTCTTCTCTAACAAAATCAAATCATCCACAACATCCATCACTGACTCATTATCCGCATTAAGCGCGGTGCGCTGCTCTTCATCTTCATTCGTTGTTGTGGCGTTCTGGCACAGTTCGTGGAGTCCCTGGCGAGTGCAGCGCACAATTTCCTTAACGACGACCAGCTCGGTGCCGTCGGTGGAATAATCTTGCGAGGGTCGACAAAGTATCACTTTTGGCCAAACGGCGAAGAGAATGGAGCAGAGCAAGCAAGCTGCGGTCATGGTTGTGAGTTGCTGGAGCGCTAACATTTTTTGCGTTGCGGAATGTGTATTGGAGCGTGATTTAGGTGATTTTTTTCTAAAAATTAAGTTTGTATTGGGCTACTTCTTTACCCTCGCATCACATTTTGAACGACGTTTCTAAACAATTAGGAAAGCTGTTATAAATTTTTAATTATTATCACTGCATTAAACCAAAAAGTTGTATTCATTTAAGAACTAGTTTTTGGACCCTTGTAGTTTTCTGCAGTGCAAATTTTATATTCATCATGGTCCAACTTTCATTTGGCACAGTTCATTGAAGACATTTTTTTCAAAACTTTTCACTTTAAAACTATTATTTTTTATGAAAACTTTCTTCACTCGCATTAGAATCTTTTACCGCTATCGCTATTCAACCGCTATTCGCATTTAATACCGCTAACATACTGTTGCTTAATTTCGGCTACGAAGCTTTCAGCGTTCACATTTGAGCTCGCCAATTTAAATTTATTACGCCTGCCATCATTTATTTAGTTAAATTCAATTGAGTCTAATATCACCCACTAGCGTATATAATACACTCAATTGAAATGGTGCAATTGCCTTCCGGCTGTGGCCGCTTTGAACTCGCATGCTGTTGATATTTGCGTGTTGGATGCAGGTGCGTTTCATATTTATAAGTACCACCAAAGCAAATATATATTATACATATACATTCATATAAGATCAGAAGACAAAATGTTTTAATCTATCTTGAATCTTTACACGGTACCTTGCAAAAACAGCCTAAATTGGAGTTTTTTTTAATAAACAACTCGACTGTATACATGGGAAATGGGTTTCGAACTTATTTGAGTTAAATATATTTCTATAATTTTTCTTAACAATTCAGACCTTTAACACGATTTGTTCAAATAAATTTAAGCGAATGGAATGACATTTTTTAAATTTAGTTTTTGTATATTTGGTATTTGGTATTTGGTATTGGTATTTGTAATAACTACATATACCAGCTTTCAATTTTCTACAGTAACCAATACAGGGTGCTCAATGAACTTAAAAAGTGGTAGATTTTTATAAGAAGCTAGTGTTGTCATGGCAACTGCAACTGGTGATATATGCTCAGCTCATTTAAATTTGAAATAGCCTTAGTATATAAGTATAGTATTCTTGAGTAAATTATAAACATTTCAAAAGCATCCTCTAAATTTATATCTAGGAACGTAGAGTTTGGTGCCAGCACCTCTTTCGGCAACAAGAAGAATTTTGGAAGGAAAAGATTTTTTTTTGGACCACTCTAATGTATGTATATGTGTGAATAAGGAAAATTGTCTACGATTTTAATCCTTTCTTTTTTATTTTAAATTACATATGTATATAATACTTAAAATATGCAATTTTCCGCACAACTTCAAAATTCATAGACTCATGGGAACTACTAAAATTATAATTTCGTTTGCCGATAGCTAAATAAATATTTAAGCATTTCAAATACGCTATTTAATTATGGTATGTACATATGTCCATATATATATAAATATTATTAGATACATATGAGTTTATGCATTCACATGAAAGGACTCACTCGCTATCGCAACCAGTTATAACATCGGTAAATACTATGCATAAATAATTTTGCAAATGAATTTTAGCAAATGCATTTCGTAAAATGAAAATGTGGAAATTTTCAAAAATCTATTAGATGTATGAATTAATGTATACAAAAACATAAATAAGTGCATAAGTAAGTATTTTCATTTTGGTGCCCACATACACTACATACATATGCACATGTACATATATGTTTATTAAATAAAGCATTTTGGTATGAATTATATGAGCATTAAGTGCACACATACATATATAGATATGTGTGTGTAACAAAATATGTGTGTGCGTGTTTGAGTATCCATTGACGGCGACTACTATCGCACGCATGAGCTTTGAAACATAAATATGTATACAGAGCGGACATTATTTTATTCAATTGCCTGTATTTTAGTGCATACATATATGTATGTATATGTAGATGGAAATAGTTCATACTAAACTTTACGCTTTAAAATAAATAAATAAACAAAATTTTACATATTTATATACATATAACATGTGTACATATGTATCTGGCTATGGGTATAAAATAATCAATTTACTAAACTCACACTATAATATGTATGATATCATATGGGCATATGAGATCATATTTACACAAAATCCTATACATAAATTTGCCTACATATAGTTGTAGTTTGCATATTAGCCCTTTTATTGCTAAAATTTTATTTGTATGTTTGTGGCTCATCCAAACATGCAAAAAACCAAACATTTTTCAAATCTTTGAGAAACTCTTGATTCTCAAGTGGGGATCCAACATTTCTGCCAAGGTTCGACCAAAAGTTGAATCAAATTGATATGCAAACTTTTCTCAAGTGGAGAACCCAGATTATTTTCTATAAAACAAATGTGTCGTTTTGTTAGAGAATGGTTTGGTTCTCCAATTGAGAAACACTCTAAAAATCAACATCGGACCTTGAAATTTTTATTGTACTTCCACTTGATCTCCAACCCAAATGTTTATTGGGATGCATACACAAATACGTATGTACATATTCTTTGTAGTTGTACATACATGCATATGTATGTACAAAAGTGTGAATGGGAGTATAGGTATTTATTTGTATTTTGTTTTCACATGTCGTACGCTATGCAGGCCCGATAATGCGATAATATGATAAATCACGGTAAGAACACAACAATAAATACTGACTACAATAATAGAGTAAATGAAATTTGATCATAATATGCCGCATAGGCATCGAAATAATACTAAATTGCGGCTAAACAAGTGGAACTACATATAACAAATATTAGCATAAAAATAAATAATATACTGAGGAGAAACGACCACCAATCATACGCCCTTAAAATAAAATTACACTCGTAAAACAATCCCATAATTCAATTTTCATGCTTAGTATAGTAAATACATATTTACGCAACGCTACTAAACGAAATCATACAAAGTTGTGAATATTTTTAAGATACTAAAGTTAAGCTGAAATTTGAAAAATATATACATAGATAACCTGTTATTATTTCTTCTACCAGTTGCTAGCAATAGATTGTACATAGATTCCCAGTTTGAAAAAGCAAAAATAACTTTGAATGGTTAAATTTATAGCTGATTTTTCGAAGATATACACACCTCCAATTAGACTTATTTTCGACCTTACGTGGATTTGAACTGTGACACCTCGGCCTACAACAAACTGTTGTATATTTACCTACAGAGCTAAGTTCACCCCATCGAAACTGTTATTGCTTTTTTGCAATTTTTCTACTACCAGATGATTCAATATAAATAGAATATAAAAAATTGTCCGATTAAACACAATATCCATGACTCATCTGGCAACTCGGCATACGCATATCGAAATTTTATAAGACTTTTTCGCATAGTTCGCGTTGTATACCATTTGCAATGAGTCTGAATTCTTTCTTTAGCTCTGGAATCTTGGGTGTGGCAAGTGGCGCCACCTAGTTGAAACCACATATTGTTCAAGTCCGTGTCATCTAATTCAGGCCATACAAAGTTTGTTATCATGTGACGATAATATTTACAGTTCACTGTTACAGAGTTACCGGCATCATTTTCGAAGACTTCGCCAGCCCGAAAGCCACATCAAATAGTGCTCGTTGTGGAGGCATAGTTTTTTCTTGAAGGACCTGTGGATTTTCAATACACTCAATTCGGGATTTCTGTTCCCCAGGTTTTTTTGAAAAATAAAATAATCTTTTATATATATATTGCGAAGAAAACATTTGATTGTTAATTTTCTACATATCTTACTTCAATTTTATTGATTAGTTTTTAAATTTTAACTTTTATTTCGGTTTACCAGCCGGAAACACTTTGAGAGAAACGCGCAAGCGGCAAGCATGTTTTTGGCGGTTAATTTAAGCCATATCTTCTGTAACCATAAGCTAATTTCATCCGAAGGACTCAATTTTATACTACTCATTTTTTTCCAACATAAGGCCTCAAAAAATTCTATTAAAAAAATACCTATACAAAATATATACCTTTATAGGTAAACATTGCCTCATAGGCGACACACGTAGGTATAATATTTCGGCAACACACTGGAGCTAAACAAAACACAAATGATTTTTACCATTCTGCGCTTTATTATTTTTCCGAATCTTGGTCATTCTTGACAAATGCATGAATTGGAAAAAAAAATAAAAAAGTGCAACATTATAGAAATTTTAACTGAATTTTGCCTTTTCCAAAAAGTCATAACACGTAAAAGTTTTACTGCCCAATTACTCATTTTTATTTATCTACATCTCGACTTCCTTACGCTAATTAACTCCCTTAAATTTCAAGTTTTCTCTTCTACTTGAAATTCAGAACAACATAAATATGTGAATGCATAGTAGGGAGAACATCGTATGTGCCAACTACTATTAATGTATTGGAATTTTCTCGAAACTCCAATAAAAGTGCACAAAGTATTTAAAAGAAATTTTTGGCATGTGTTGTTAGCTTACTTGCCACAACTACATAGAAATCCCTTGAATGCCTGCGAGGGTATCGAAACATTTCCTTACTAGAAGCATCACTTGTGGCGATTCAAATTTTCAAAAAAGGACTCAAAAAGAGACACAAGCAATAGCAAGAACTAGGAAAGAGCAAACACATATTTAAAGAAAATTTAGTCAAAGTATTACAGAGTAAGCTGGTGCCGCTGTTGCAACTTGCAACATACATACATAAGTAACAGTTTTGGAGCTTCGCATATGCGACATTCTTAGCAATTGATGCAAACATTTCTCGTCCACACCCACCCCTCCTTTGTATCCCTCTCTCTCTCTCTCTGTCTCTCTCTATCTCGACCCTTATCAGCTGTACTTAAAAATTAATTTAGTTTTACTAGCGCAGCGCCGTGCTCTGAAGTGGGCGTCCAATCGGGTGAACTTCGACGTGTTTTTGTGTAACTGAATGTGTGCGCTGTGCGTAAGTGCGCAAGTAAACTACTTTACATTGTTTGTTGGCAGCCTTCGTTCAGTCGAATGCCACTTTTAGTAACAAAATGCATAATTCATAGAAGTTTCCCACAGCTTGAGCTGCTATGTATGTATGTCGCTTGGCATATGCTACACCTGCTCGGAAGGATTTTCCTCAAATTTCAAGTTTATTGTTCTCAAAACTGTGATACTTGTGCAAAGAAATAAGCGGTTGTCTTTAGTTGTGTTTTTTTTTTTTTTATTGCTCTTATTACAAAGTATTTAGCTTCCAGCGGCAAGAGTTGCCCATCTTATGTGGGCCGCTGTAAATGTCACAATAGCGAAGGGACCAAGTTTGGGTTTTATGTGTGCGTTCGACTACTTAAAGCACATCTTATGCCAAAGTGACAGCGTTGGACAACAGGTGGTCCGCGACATCTGCTTTACGGTAATTTATGGTACTTTTTACTTTTCGTCATAATAAAAAAAAGCGTTGATGCTCTTCTTGCTGGCGACTTTATGACGCAAAATTGGCAGCCAAAGAGAGTAAAGGAGCGGAAGTTTAGTCCCTAATGGAGGTAGTGAATAGAGATTTATAATTTTCGATACATGTACCATCTGCCATATACAAGTAGTAATCCTGTTACCTATATAACTTCTTGTCGATAGAGCTGTACAGATAAGGAGTTAAGGTTTAAAAATCCTTAGAATATTTCTTTAAACACCTGAAATAGATGCAAAGCTCTGCCCGCATTGATCAAAGCACACGCCTGATAAATATGTATGTTTTTCAGATTTTTTGTAAAGTTGATATATACCATCCAACGAGCTTGCGATCCACTCTTTGTATGGCAACAATCAGCTATTGTTTTCCTTGACAAGTACACTCGGAATGTGATAAATTCTTCTCCTTAAACATCTGTGGTATTTTTTCTTTTTTCGGTATTTATCCGGCGATATCGCAACGAAGAACCGATTTTGCTTAAACATAGTATAAGTAACCATATAGATACATGAGCAGAGAGAGCTTCCGAGCTGCATAGTTAACTGATCATAGGTTAAAATTATTCCTGTCCCCACGTCTTTAACCCCCCATACCTTAAATGTTATTAACTCCGATTTTACTGAGGACTACTATTCTTCTTACCTATAACACTGAGGTCTGTGCTGCTAAATGGATTGACCTCAAATATAATATATTACGAACAATTAGTATTTCGAAATTACAATAAGTAAGTTTTGATATTTGTGCTTGCAACCTAAAAGCCATATTATTAAAAAGGCCCGAAACTCGGTGCTATCTCGACAATTAACCAGTTGGATTTCTAAAGAAATTTTTTCGAAGTTATAGATATCTTGAATTGGATTTGCAAATCAACTTTCAGCAGGCCCGATATTTTCGATATCCTCGAAAATTCAAAATTCTTTTACTTAGTATGTAAAGGGACAACTGCACGTAAATACAATATACATACGAGGAAAAATTCAGCTGCCTTAAAACAACAACAGAAAAGTGCAAAAGGGCAAAGTAAAAGCAAAGCAGTGCAACTTCACTAATTTTACTTGCAAAGTTCAGGCATTAACATTACCGCAAATTAGCAAAAGTTTTCACAGCGGCGTTGCCACAGTCAACAACCAGCCAACCAACCTCTGATGCCCAGCGTGGCAGGCACCAAGTGTGGTGAAGTTCCCTGAAACTAAAAGGAACACATACACACAAGCAATGAATATACTATGAATAGTTCTTTTTGTCGCTTGTCGTAGCCGTAGTTCGCTAGCAGTGTTTTTTTTTTTTGGCAATTTCTTCACAGTTTCTTGTTGCTGCCGTAAATTATGTTGTCTTAACTCTAAAACGTAAAATTGTTTTGGCAACAACTTTTTTTGGTTAATCCTGGCTAGGACGATGGCACTTTTACAGCTCCAGCTGCGCCGGCAATGCAATAACTGGCCGACTGTCGCAGTAATGCTGTTGGCCATAGTGTTTGTGGATTAACCCGAAGGGAAATTCATTACATTCGAACTAGTGGAAATGCGTTCCAAAACGTAATGATAAAGGGTATAATTTCCAGGAATAGATACTTAAAATATACTTTTATGCATCGAACGGGATTTTACAAACTTTCTTTCCCGAACAATGTGTCAGCAATATAGCATAAATAGTATTTTATAGCAGCGATTTTCTTAATATGCCGATAGTATTATATCCGATACGCTCCAAACCAAAATTCAAAAGCATCCATATCCTTTTTTAAGACGGTTAAAAATACATTTCGGCTTTCGTTAAAGTTACTGAAGGCCAAATTGGTATCAATGGTTTTTTTTAAGTATTTTACTGTGTTTGGATGAGCAAGTTAAATAAAAACATGTAAAAATTGAAATTAAATGGCATCTTTAGAGCAGCCCTAAAATCTTCTTAAGTTCGAATTTCGCTTCTTGTATACATTCCCAAATTTCTCAAAAACTTAGCCTTTGGGTTTAATGTTGACGACATGTGTTTACGTAGATACTATTGTTTATTAACCCTTATTTGCTGGTTATTTTAGAATACGTATGTATATTAGGGTGTTCCTTAAATGTAGGAAGCCAGTTTTTACATCGGATTACCTTAACCTCTAAGTCGATGCTACTTGAAGATATCACATATAAATTTTGTTCCCGATCGGAGGCGGTTAAGGTGCGTCGCACAGGGAGCACAAAGTTCAGAGTATCTTACGAAGATGTCTTAAACGACTCCAATCGGGACCAAAATTTATATGTGGTACCTTCGACTATGGTAATATCGACTTTGGTTATTAGATGAAAACAAGTTTTATTTTAATCTTTTTAGTCTCTAAAGAGGAATCTGTACTTTGCCCAAAATCCGGCAAGCGTTAACCGTCTCCAATCAGGACCAAAATTATAATAATAAAAAAATATGTGATACCTGTGAGCGTGGTATTACCGATTCAGGGGGTGCTTTCTGATCAGTTTGAGTTTTCCCTCTTTTGAAACTTTTCAATGCTGGGAATATGTTTGAGTTTTATATATTTATGTACCTACTTGTATTAATCGAGTGTGTGTTCAACACAAACGCCCTACTCTGCACATTAAGTTTACAGTTTATATACATACATATATACATACATACATACATTTGTATGCATGTATTGCTGGATCTACTCTAAGCATTCTCAACTTAAAGTTGCTCTATACAGTGATTTTATTAATATTTTGTTGCTGGTTTCATAGACTTTTTAGTTAATAAAATAAATTTGTTGGCATTTCTTATTAGTGCTTTGGGGTTTTGATGTTTTTCCGAAGTTGAATCTTTTCGTTATTATTTTATACTTGTCTAGAACTTGGTCTAATTCTTTATGAGATTATTTAGTGTGGTTAGTTTATTTTCTGATTTTGTTTTGGATATTTAATTACATTTGACCCAGAAGTGAAGTCAACATTCCGCCTGTCATCACGTTGTGAAATTTGTGGTTCTAATATTTATAGGTGTATAGGTGTTATTGACAACTAGAAACCACCGTTTATAAAGTTTTGGATTTTAGTTTTAATTATGGAAAATATAAACATAACTTGATTTGGAAGTGGGCGATAAATTTTAAAAATAAAATGAAAGGTGACTACTTTAGTAAACAATTAGTAAATAGTTTAGTTTAAAACTTTGTCCTTTGCCCATTATAAAGTTCATTAAAATGAGCTTATCTCACTGCTCTTCGTCAGAGTCATAAAGTGTTAAAAAATATACTATCTTAGTAACTTCGAAGCACCATATATGTACGAGCAGAGAGTGTCTTCGCTTAAATCGTTTTCTGCCTTAAAATATTATATTTAGCTCTATTTACATATGCACATACGTATGTAGTTAGTCTAGTTCCTTTCCTTTTCAAAGGATGTGGAGATTTCCATATACCTAGTACAACTTCATAATAAAACTGAAATTTGCTTAATTTTTTGTTTCATTTAATTTATTTATAATCCCACGAGTATAGGATTGACTTCATGTAACTCCATACCAAGTTCTACCATGAACACTTGCAGACATATTCCCTTCCAATTTTTTTAAGAGTTGGCTAATCGTAGATGCTATACGCCTTCAACACTGATTTTGGTAATAAAATTCAATGATTTGCAAGCGTTGCTCGTTAGTAAGTCTATTCATGATGAAATGTCAAAGCATACTGAGCATCTTTCTCTTTGACACCATGTCTGAAATCCCACGTGATCTGTCAAATACTAATGCATGAAAATCCTAACCTCAAAAAAATCACCCGTTACTTACAGCTTTTCGCAAAGCTAAGACTTTACGAGTTTAAGGGTATCCCTTCATTTTATTTTTGTATTTTCTTTTGCAGCTGTTTGACAGTTCGCCGCCTAAAATGCTACATCAACAGAATGCATGCCAAACAATATGTTTGCGTTCATTTATTTTTAAGAAATCTGGCAAGCCCAATTCTCGTCGCGCTTAATTTTTAGAAATCTACACCGAAAATTCCTGCTGATATTTTCGCAAACCACTCAATAGTAAATTCTAGATTAAAATATTTTCCCTATTTATATTGTATTCTTTTTGCGCTATGCTCGTTTGGCTAATTTTTGTCAAATAAAAAACTCCAGATATCGAGCTGCTGTGGTTGATTGGTACGTGGTGGCGTACTGCCACTCCGTAGGAGCATTAAGAAGCACCAATAGTTCAGTCGAATGATTTTAGTCTTTTATAGCATCAAAGCCGGTCTCTGATTGCAATCGAAAAAGTAAACCCAGCTAATAAATGGTAGAAGACGTTAAAGTCAATATTATCGGTTAATTCATACAAATGTACATATGTGTCCTGAAATGTTCCTTTTTTTATCGATTTTGTTAATTTCCCTACTGGGTATTTAGGCTTGAATATATGTAAATACCTATCCAGCTCTGAGAATTGAGATTTTATGGCAATGATGAGGCCGAAGCAGATTGAACCGCAACGAAGGTAACGCGGCTTGTTCAACTTTTCCATAATCAATGCCATTGCATGCCACAGATAACGGCAATTCTCAACTTATTCATATATTCAGGTATAAACTCGTATGTTATTCTGTGTATGTAAAGTCGGAGTTAACTAACTTACGGGCATATTTGTGTGCATACGTTCAACCTGGAGCAGACAGGCGGGTCCAATTATCCATCTCCGATCTTACGATATTATAGCTTGTAAATTGGTTGTGAAATCCCGTTGTAATATATACTTTATCAATTTTACAATTTCCAACAAAACACTCATGCTTATTTCAATGTCATCCGAGAGCTGGAGCAAGTCACAAATACTGCTAAAATTGCGTATGTTATTTCCAAGCTTTTTCCTCAAAAAATTAACTGACAAGATAGAAAAATTACATACCGCACTACCTGGCTTTTACACCTCAAAGTTTTCCCTCTTTTTATAGCCAATAGTGAAGAAGGAGACCACTAAAAAATAAATATCCATTACAGTTTTCAGCTTTGACAGGTTACACTTTGTAAAAATGGCGATGGTTAAGAAAAAAACTATCATACGATGTAAAGAGATGATTATGGCACTTGTCATTCAAAATCAACCGCGAACTATTAAACCTTTCATTTCCACATTATCAGTTTGCATACGAGTATATACATACATATATACATGTACATGTACAGCTATATGAATGATGAACAAAGAGCAGGCAGGAAATGCAACTCAAAAATCAAACTGTCAATCAGCTGCCAAATAACGTAATCTTCCTCGCAACAAAGGTAATTGCGATACCAGCTATAATGTGTTAATATTTCAACCAAAATTATATTTAAATCAAAAAAAACTTAATATTTACTTATATGGTAGTTAGAATTAACTCAATCTGCGATTTGCTAGTTGAGACTATCTGGTATAGAAAAGTGATACACGCTATACAACTCAGAAGGCTCCTTTTGCTAGTTATTGAACAATGTCACATCACATGGATTAAATATCGATGTTCAACCAGTTTTTTACCCACCACAACTAGTTGAAGATCTGGGCCCGAATCGCGGGATTCAATATCGAACGTAACTCGAATCGAAATTTGATTTTGGGATCGCGGCATTCGATAGCGAGTGTGCTTCGCTCGTTGAAATTGTATTGTGAAGAAAACAGCTGCCATTTTGTTTCATTCGATTCGAAACGAGTAACCACTCGATCACGAATGCCGCGATTCGGGCTCTGACTTTCTTCCTTGGAACGAACTGTTGACTTTAACATGGCGATGTCCTACGCATCAGTCAATTATCCGACTCTGCATTTGATGTCAAGTACATACTTTAAAATGCATTTGGCTCTAAGCAGTTCAAAGTCAGTATGTTTCGTTTGGTTACGCTTTCGTTCTGTACTTCACGGATGCTTTTTCATAATAAAGAAAACCGAACATAAAAATTTTAAATTAAATGTTCCGCCTAATGAGATTTTAACCTGGACACCAGCGTTAGCACTTTGCTACGATCGTAGTAAATTTGCTACGATTTAAAAGAAATTTTAAAATTTTCTACGCCACTACGCTTTATTCTATTTTTACCACGCTTGTTATATTTACTTCAACTTATGGGCAGCAACTATTTGTAAGTCCTTATAACTTACTTTATCTCAATGAGGCTGCTAGGTATTTTTACATCAACTTGATGTTAGTTGCTACATAACTAGAAATAAATTAATGGTCGAGCTATGCCGTACTGGGTATGTACTCATATTGCCAAACCTAATTATTAAGCGAGTTGTCTGGAATGAACCTGCTACCAGATATGCGGCGTTGATTTTGGGTCACATCTGAGCTACATATTCCACTCTCTGGAAATGGGAAGGCCGAGTCGAAAATTTGGTATCCGCGTAGTCGAGTGGTTGCAATTAAAATATTTTGCATAATTTTTCCCTGACTAGTAGCCAGTTTAGCAGTATATCACATAAAAAAGATTATTCGCTGCAATACTGGCCCGGGGCTATTAGAGGTGAGCGCGTGATGGCGCGTTAACGCGATTTTGACACGTTTGGTAAATATTAGAACATGTCGACAGCTAGGAATTGAGTGAAGTTGATGAAAGTTTGCAAGCTATTGAGAGAACACGCAGAGTGGAATTACTGCCGTTGGCAGAGGGAGTTTTAAAGCAAAATGCATAACTGTTTTTCTAAATATGTACTTATCTATGTACATTAGACTGTGCCAAATAAAACGGATTTTTTTTCCTTTTGGTCCCATAAGAAAGTTTCGATGATGGTCACAAAAAATAGTCGTGGAAAAATTTCAGCCCCCTTCATTAATTTCTTGTAGTAGATAAAGCAAGCTTGAAGTAGATAGGACTTGCCGTTGACTTTTGCCAAGTTTTTTTTTCTTGTTGAAGATTTTGTTAAATTTTTCCCACATTAACAATTCGTCGAATAACATTGTATAAAGGAAAATTAGTGACACCGTCAATAAAAAAAAAAAAATCGGTTCGTCCTAGCCTATGTATGCACTTGTTATTACTAGTATTTAACGAGCTATAAAGTTGTTCATTTTTATTTGCTAAACTTAGTTGTTTATTAAAAAATAGTTGCAAACAAATTTTTTTTATTCAAAATCCTTATTTTGCGCGCGCCAACTGAAAAATGGAGATATAATGATGAGAGAGAATATGAGACCGTAAGAAACGAAGCATTCGTTTTGTTTAGTAGGCGAAGGGAAGGATTGTCCCCGTAGCTCGGTAGACACTTCAATCCACTTTTTTTTTTAATTTTAATTGGGCATTCAATTCAATTTGTGGCATGTTTCACACGTTATTACAGCGGATTAAATGTAGCTCTTATGTAGATATGTGTATAGGTATGTACATACTACATTTGTATATTTATGCGTTGTTGTATGTTTGTTGTGTTGTGGTGCGGATGTGCGTGTGCGCTTCCGTGACCCATATTAGGTTTAATTAAATCCCGCGCATCTGGTAACCTCAAAAGTGCGCATGTAAACGAGCGCTACACACACCATGTTGCATGTTGCATGTTTTGTTTTGATTTCGTGCTAATTTCAAGCACATTCGCACACAAATGTTGTAATCATTTTAATTGTATGTTTGTCAGTACTAAATAGGCATATATGTATGTATGTATGTATGTAGGTACCTGTATAAATGTAATTTTGCGAATACTTGCGCCGCAATAATACTTTCCGGATACAAGCCATTAGTTTCGTCGTAATTTAAGATTATTTCGTTCGCATTAACACCGCCACCGCTGCCGGATTTCATGCAGCGCTGCGCAGTTGCCTCTTATTTTTCAGAAATTTGCAACCCCACCACCCACGAGACTACATGCAACTGTACATATGTATGTATGTATATGTAAGTGCTGAATTATCCTTTGTGCTTTTGTTTCTCTCAACGGTTTCCGTTTGAGCTTACCACTCAACACTCTGCGGGCGGACTGCCGCCGACTGCAAGCTGATGCCCGCTGCCCGCTGGCCGCTATGCTGCGATAACTGACCACCACCACCACCAATGTAGCGTGCGCAAGCGCGTGCAACAAGTCAATTAAATTTAATGATGTTAAGTAAATATTTATGATTAGCTACATTGCTACAATAAAAAGAACAAGCGTAACACCACGTCAAAACTCAGCAAGCACACACATATAGACACCAAGCGCCAACTCCCGCTTGTACATTTTGGTACCCTGATTTTTCGGGTGCATTGCATGTTTGCGGAGCATAAATTTTCACCTATCCACCAGACAAGTGTTTGAACTTTATGAAGCTGAAGCTAATATATGTACTAATGTATACAATAAAAATAGAATAAGGCGAGTATGTGTGTGTGTGTAGATAATAAAAGTAATTTAGCACACTTTTTGCCATCCTTACGCTCAAGTAATTTGATTACCAAAACAGAATTACAGAATTGAGGTTAATTTGGCATGCGATTAGAGAATTCAAAGGCAAATCCCTCAAGTAACCAAACAGACCGATGAAATTATAATTTATAAGCATATTTACATATATTGCTAAAAATTGTGAAATCGATTGAATGAACCCAACCGTATGCAAAATTCCGAACGAGAGTTACGCCATTGCGCGACAAACTTTTGAAAATGCTTAAAAAACTAAGCGCATTTAACTTTTCTATTCCTTCTTATCGGTTACAGGTACGCAATCTGAGTTTCAGAGTTTGCTTTCACAAATATTAGGTAATCTCGGAGTGATGGAGTGAGTGAGGCACCCCCAAAACACCCACCTGCGTTCGCCCCTGGTATAACCCATAAATGAGGAAACGATTTTCAACCAGATCTGATTTTGAATGTTTTTTTGATGAAGCTCTTCAGGTTGGCATACATCGATTTGCTTTACATATATATTTTTTTTATTAAATAACACTTTTTTATAGTGCGAATTACTAGTTCCTGATGGTAAACGCACATCTGTTGTCCCTGAAAACAAGAAACAAAATTGCAAGATATGCATGCACCACAGTTAAGCTAAAAGATATACAAAAACTCATTTCCTATGTGTTGATTTCGCAGGACTTTATGTCTTAAGCATTCATAACTATAATATAATATTAGCATTAATAAGCATTCATAACTACACTATAATATTATTAAGGATTGTAATTGACGTCATAAAACAATATATTTTCACCATTACAACGGATGAATGGAAAATAAAAATTCCGACCCGCACTAATCGGCATATCGACGGCTGAGTGGAAGATCGAGCTATCTCGGTAGCGGGTTTGAAAACGCCCTATCTCGGATAACTTTTCCAGAAGGCCCGATTTCAGAATTTGGCTGAAGAACGTCCTATATTGGAATCTACCTCTTTTGGGATCATAACCTTTTTCGGTTTTCATGCGACAGACTTACATATATTTAACAGGAAAAGGACTGCAGATCATTTGAATACTTACTGATATTATTTAGTACTTACATTTTCGTTTCAAATATTTTGCGTATTTGAAAATTATTTACAAATATATTAATTTTAATAGCAATTTAAAAACCGGATTAAATTTATTTATTTTTTTTTTACTTACATAAAATCGCTAAACTTAAATGCAAGCGCCATATATTAATACATATATGCATATGCATACATTGACTGAAGTATAGAACATGAGTGCATATTTTTCCATTTTTAAATAGATCTCAGAATCAATTTTCGATTAAAGTTAAGTGAAATTTAATTTTAACAAGACTTCGCCTTGGTAATTTTAGTACAGTTTAAGTACTTTATAAAAAAATATATTGATATACATATAGTATAAGTCGATGTGCAATTGAATTTATGACATAAAATTAGTCCTCTATAATTGCGTCTTACCAATTGCTGATTTAAATAATAATCCTTCGATTCAATTCCCTAGAAGGCACTCCAAATTGCCTTAATACTTTATTAGTGTATGGATTGCTCGTAAACCTTGTTAAACTGCGGTCCTGCAGTAAATCTAGAAAAGATTTTGGCCAAATTCTTATCGCTGATAAATTAAAAACTGCACAGTAACCGCGATGAGTGCGAATTTCCAAAAGTTGCTCATTTGAATTCGGCATCCGTCCACTCCTTAGGTAAAGCTTTGGTTCATTGTAGCAATGTCTTATGGTGAAGAGTTTGAAAAAAAAGAATATATGTATATGAATGTATGTATGTATGTATGTATGTATGTATGACGTATATCCCACATGTTCTTCAAAAGTGTATTAACTCATTTTCCACAGCCTGAACCAACAAATTTCACAGATCATATTGGAGTATTTACCTTCCCGCAAAGCATGAATATCAATCCATACATATTTTTTTTTTATTTTTTGCAAATCACAGTAGAATTTTTCATCTATTCTATTGACAAGCTGGCGTTCTTTAGTTAAGTAATTTTAAAGAGAATGCGCAACACGTACATATATACATACATACATATTTGCGAGTGTTAACTCGCGTATGCATATAAATACAAATAGGTATATATGTACATACATATGTAAGTCAAGTCATTGCGAATACAGTCAGTGTTAAATGTTAGCATACGCCTTGTTCTTATATAATATTCACAATTGTTTTTATGAAAAATTTGTTTCATTTAATTACATGGTTCAACAAAATTTGGTCCAATTTTATCTCAAAAACAGGGCCGACCTCATCTTATAGATTTTTTGATTCTGATTTGAAGTGCATTTACAAGATTTTTCTAGCACGTCCAGTTTTTGAGAAAAAACTGTTGAAGTGTCGAAAAATGTCAAATTAAAAAAAAAAAATATATATATATATATCTGTATACAATTTGGACGTAATTTTTCCGAAGAAAAAAAAACACGTATTAATGATAATCCAATTCGTCTGATGGGTTTCGCCTCATGTCGATGGATTGGGTGAAAATTAAAAAAAAAACTTAGTAAAAAAAACTCAAAAACACTAGCGAAGAACATGGCGAACGATTCCACCAGGACAAAGCCACTCTATGCAGAAATAATATGATAGGAAGTCAAACCTCCACATGCTTGCTAACTATTGATGGAACTTGAAAAGCGATAATAATGCGATCCACAAAAAAAATGTTTGAGGATTCCATTGCAGAACGCGGAAAGTGCCAAAGCGAGAAAAGACCGGCTAATGATGAATCTGGAACATTGACTTTTTAATGTTGATTTGTTCATGAAATTGTTTTATTTTTTAAATAAATTCATAGATTGAGATTTTCGTTTTTGTGGGTGAAACAAGTGCATGCTCTTGAAGAACTGAGTTTTTTTTTTACTTTTCACTCATTTCTAATGAACTCATCGACATGAAGTAGAATGCATGAGACGAATTGGATTTTCATTAATATTTCGGAAAACCAAAGTCCAAATTATATTTTAATTAATTATTTTTTTTTTTTTTGAAATTTGGCATTTTTGCCATTTTTTGACACTTCAGCAGTTTTTTAGTTCAGGACTTGCACTTTGTCCCAAGTTGATAAAATTACTGTTGATTTTTTAGAATTTTTTTTTTGAGAAGTGTGTTGTGTTGCGCATTTTTTTCCATATAACGTATCTAAATCTATTTTTATGTGGAAAAAAATGCGCAACACTTTACAAAAAAAACAAAAAACTAAAAAATTGAATTGGCTACAAAACTGCATATCGAAAATTTTCTAGAGACTCCGAATAAAAAATGTGTCATTTTAATGAAAATTGTTTGAATATTTGTGATCTTAATATAAAGTGTGAAACTTTGGCTTACATAGTTTATGTTATAGAATTAACTATATTATCATAAAAATTAATAAAGAAAATTTTCATTGAAATATTTGTGAATATTATATTAGAACGAGGTGTATACTAACATTTGACACTGACTGTATATATACATATGTAGCTAATCTTACCTGCGCAATTTCGAAACGGCGTTGATACATTTATCATAGCTGTCAACTCTATCAATTGTATGATCATCATCGCCATCGTCGAATAAGCCTTCAAAGAATTCTATAAGAAAATATAAATTTTTCTTACATGTACATATGTATTTATACCACTTTTTTTTCTCACTTTTAATAAGGTACACTAAGATGCACAATATAATAAGTGCTTCCATGGCGAAAGTTGTTTTAAAAATGCACATTTTGATATTTTTGCAGTTTGCATGACTTCAAGCGCAACTGATTTCATTTCTGATATTTCAGGTTTTCGCGACTTCTCCTTTTGTTCTATTTTCACGATCATACATATCAGGGATGGAAAAGTAGGGAGCACTTTGCCTTTTCCGACACTTCTTACCTTACTCACCACTTTAGGTACCACCCGTCTATTTTGGCCTACCTCTAGACGAAAACCGCAGAGTGTTATTTGTATTATGTTCTTAGTGCCAGTAAACGTTTTGGTAAACCAATTAATATTTTCAAATTTGGTAATTCAATGGGTAAAAAATGTAGAAGAAGTTTTCAAAAATTACAAAATAAGATTCCTTTGAAATAAGTATTATTTATCTTTTTATATTATTACTATGTATTTGGTTAAAATTTATTTAGCTTTCTCTGCGCTGAGTTCGGTCATAACTTTTCCCGATCTAGTATTCAAATATTCTATGTTCGATATGTGTACATATATGCACACCCATTTACATACATAAGTGTGTGTGTGTTTCCACATAGCGGCAATTCCAGTGCCATGATAAAGTGCTTTTGAAAGAAAAATTAACAATAAAATAAAATAAAAATAAAAAATTTTAAATAACAAATTGAATAGTTTTTGTCAGTTAAATAATAACAACTCTAACGAACTGACAATGTGTAAATTTATGTAAGCGCCTTTCAGAGTTTTGCGGCTTTTTTATGCGATTGCTCATGTGTGTATTTATTTACATATTTTGAATTTTTCAATTGTTTTTTTTTTGTTTTTTTCTTCTTCTTTTTGTTCACGCAGTTGAGTAAATTTGAAATTCAAGTGAAAAATACCGGCATTTGTGTAACAAAAACATGGTAACTGCGGATCATCAATGCATTCAAATTGATTTTATGCAAGGAAATAAAATATGTAGATTGAGAGTAAATAAACTAATATTCGTGCATGTGCGATTTTTATGCGCATGCATGTAAATATAATTGACATCGCACCGAATTAAAAGGCTTACCGGAGGTTAGGTGCAAAAAAATAACAATTTTCAATGAAAATATCTATTCATGGAATGCAATTTCGCAAGGAAATGGAGTTAAAAACAAAAAAAAAACGAAAATGCAATGCAGAAATATTGTCGGATTATTTTCATGCAAACATTACAGAAAATTCGCTTTTTTGAAACTATCTAAGGACTAGTTCCTATGGGAATGGTGAGATTGCAACTAGTAGTTTATGCAATCATTTCTCATTCTAAAGTAGGGCGTTCTTGATAAGTTTTCTGAGATAGAGCGATGTTGAATTTTTCTAGGAAATCTAATTTAAAAAATCCGAAATCTTTTCGAAAAATTGTTAGTTTTTTTTTTAATATTGCACAAAGTTTGAAAGATGGATGTACACGTTTCCTTTTTAAGAGAGAACCACAGTTTTTTAAAACAAAATAACCAAAATTAAATAACTAACAAAATAATATATTAAGACTTGTCAATATATGGTGCGGCTTTAATTTGTTCCACCACTGTGTTTATAAACGCAAATATTTATTAACGAACTCCAAAAGGATGCGCGAAAAAAAAAATTGAAAAAGTTTTCCCATTTCCGGATACATAACTATCTTTAAATTTTTACTTATTTAGTTTGTTTATTTTTATATATTTTTCGTTTATTATGATGTGAAAATTTTGCTAGAGTATTATGACTAGCTGCTGAATACCTACTACGCATGGACAATATGTAAAACGTGGCAATAACCAATCAGTAAATAAAGTGTACAGGGTGTTTTAATAGTTGAAATATTGAACAGTACCTACATATCTAGAATCTAATTACATTTTCGGATAGCCTTCTGTCATCTCTGCTGTTCGCCTCAATAGGAATTTGGAGATCTTGCGCAGAATTTATTTGTTCTCAAACGTGCTTAGAAAGTCTCACCGAAGAGGCTTATAGAGTGTCGCTTTTGCTAGACAAGAGAGGACTTATAACTTCTTATTTCTGTACTTAGTTCAAAGTAGCACTTCGGCTATAAATTCGATCTCTTATAGGCGAGACACAAACTCATTTGATACGAATGTTGTGAAAAATTATTTAACCCACTTGAAATTTGTTGAACGATGCTTTTAGGGATTGCTGTTTGTTAACATTATCCTGAATATTTAAAATTCTAAATGGCAGATCCAGTATGGCGAAATCCATAAACTAAAAAAAAAATTCCACATCTTGGATCCTTCGTTGTCAAATTCATAATAAATAACTGCCAAAACCTCTCCAATTTTCCGCCATATTGGATCCGCCATACTTTTTTCTGAAACAATTTTGGAGAGAAGGGCTTCGGTGGACATAAAAAAAAATGTCCTTGGTCAAATAAAATAGTCACTAAAGAGTTATTTATTAATTTGTTGTGCGCATATCAAATTATACGTGAACTATGAAGCACCCTGTATCAAATAGCACACAAATAAACTACATATTACACCTGACAACACTTTACAAAAATCGGCCTATTTGCAGTCAAAATTATTCAAAAAAGATAATAATGAAGAAAGTTTATGACTTTGCACGTGGCAGTCTGTACTGCATGCCTTAACTTATGCGGTGGGCATGTGTGTGAGTATACATATGTATGTATGTTTGTGCATATTTATGTTACTACGAGTTTTACAACTATTCGTCAGCATATAAATTGCTTCGTTTCGAAAGTTTTTACACACTTACGTTCGAAGTTATGCTAGCAAACGCCATTGCCGAGTCACCTTGCCCTTCTGCACTTTTTTGCTTCAAATTTCCTGTTAATGTTGCACCCGTCCAATATACCTTTTGTTTCACATATCTACATAAGTATATACATATATATATATATATACATAAACAGGCATGCAAAGTGAAAAAATTGCCCAAGGCCGAAATGGTCAGTATGTAGGCAGCAAACACAGGATGAATATTTTTTTTCCGCACGAGCTCTTACATATATGCATGTAAATATGTATGTATGGCTTTCGTCTTTTTTTTTCAAAATTTTTCGTACTCTTGCATATGCACGTTGTATGTGTGGATATACGTATGTATGTATGTACATGTGCGGGTTTGAGGGCGAATTAGAATGCAAAAATGGTAGCCAAGCTGAACAATCCTAAATAAAGCCGGAGAGCTTATATCCATTATACCTTAACCCTTGTAGGCAAATATGACTAATTTCGCATAGAAAGAAATGATTGGAATGATGGCAGAGCGACGTGTTCATCGTTGTTGTAGGTTGAATGCTGCAGGTGCCTCCGGCTCATTTTTTATTGTTGGAAAAGTTTGAATTTTTATTGTAACACTGAAAGTTGTATGATGTCGAGGGAGTTTGGGAAAAAAAACGTATTGTAAAGCAAATAAAAAATGCAAAGGTAGCAAACAAAGTTGAGTTGAGCAGGAATGTAGTGCGAAACTTTGCAAAAGTATGGCAAAATCGACTGACCAGTGGATGGATCACGGATTAGTGTTGGCACTTCACACAGCACTAACACCCAAACACACACACACACTCTTGAATGCAAATGTAAACACGTGTACAAATGTCACGTAACGTTGTAATGCAGTTATAGGAGTACGAAGGCTTTTAAAAATGTATGTATGTATGTGTAACGTTTGTGCTGTCGGTGTTGAAATAAAAGCACAAGAAACACACACACACACACACACAA